AGGGAGCGTTTGCAGGGCAGCTTCCTAATAACACGTAACGCAAGTGGGACACGCATGATGGCTGCTTCCCAGGGAGGAAGCCGAGCGCCACCCCCGCCTCCATCGCACCGCGGACAGCGGATCCTTCCGGTCCCATATCCCAGCCCCTTCCTCCGTGCCCAAGTGGTCCCCGCTGCACCACCGGGGCTCCTGGGTGGCCCCCAGTGGGTTTGATGACAGACACACACCTCAGGTCACCTTGGGACTTTCTGGGAACTTTCGGCAAAGCTCCTCACCAGGCCCATCGTGTCCAAAGGCCTGGGATGAGCCCCCGCTGAGCATCCCTGCTGCTAGTGCCTCTGGGACTGGGGAGCTGGCTAATCACAGCTGCAGAACCAGGTGTTGCCTCCTGATTTTACTGAAAGAAGACCAGCCCCAGGGGCTTTGCAACCAAGGCAGTGACTGAGCCGGGCCCACGGGCAGGGCTGCGCCCAGCAAAGACCAGCAGGACACCTGGGCGCAAAGTTGAAGGTGGACTCACCCATGGGCTGAGGCCCTGCCTTCCTCCTGCAGCTGGGCTCTCTGGGCACCACCAGACCCCGGGCAGTGGGAAACAGTGGTTAAATATTCAGGAATTTTGCAGACAGCTGTGAGGGCTGTCAACTGCCGTGGGAAAGACAGGGCGTTCGCTCGTCAGGGCTGGGGGCAGGTAAGCTCCCTGCTCTCTCTTGCCCGCTCCTAGCACAGGCCCTTCCCTGAATCATTTAATCTGTTCTTGCATTTTCTGTCCTAATGTCCTACCTGGCAAAGTGCTGTTCTGTCCAAAAAAATCCCCAGTACAAATTGGCCCAGGGTACTTTCTCTAAATAACCACCCTCCACCTGGGGCCCAGCGTTTCTTTGCCAAATCCAGGAACGTTGTCAGTGTCTTTTTCTTCTTCTTCTTCTTCTTAGTGACCATTGAGTGACTGCTTTCCGCCGGACCGCCTGAGCGCTGCCCTGGGGACAGCCGCAGCCCCTCGCCCACAGCGCCTCCCGGGGACATCCCCACAGGTGGCATCATCTGCTCGAGAAATGGTCCTTGACTCCTGGACACGTCACTTTTGTGGCTTGATCTGCAGCAGCTCCTTTTGATAAAGGGGATTTCCATCAGTTTGTTAAAAAAGTTTTGTTTTTAACGGCCTCTATTTTTGACAGTTTTATCAGCTGAGGCCCCAGGTTCTTCCTGGGGGTCCGTGATCCAGGAGATCCCTCTGCTCCTGCAGCTGTTCCACTGCAGCCTCCTCTGGGCGCCACGCAGGTGCTGGTTCTGCTCACTCACCCAGCACTCACTCCCTGAACGCTGGCTCCCGCCCCTGAGAGGGGACCGTGTTCCCTGAGTGCCCGGTCGGGGCAGGAAATGCTCCTGGCACCCAGGACGTGGGTGAGCGGCACAGGAGCCGGGCAGAGAGGGTGATGTCAGAGAGATGAGGGTCTGGAAGAGCA